AAAAAATCAACTAAAATCAATGATAAAATCAACTAAAATCAGTGAATAAAAAAATCAATGGTTAAAATAAACTAAAATCAATGATATAATAAACTAAAATCAATGATAGAATAAACTAAAATCAGTGATAAAAAAATCAGCTAAAATCAGTGATAAAAATCATTGATAAAATCAACTAAAATCAATGATAGAATAAACTAAAATCAGTGATAAAATAAACTAAAATCAGTGATAAAACTAAAATCAGTGATAAAATCAGTGATAAGATCAACTAAAGTCTGAAAAAATTAACTATAATCTGACAAAAAAATGTACTAAAATCAATGATAAAAATCAACTAAAATCAATGATAAAAATCAACTAAAATCTGTGATAAAAATCAACTAAAATTAATGATAAAATTAACTAAAATCAATGATAATATAAACTAAAATCAATGATAAAATCAACTAAAATCAGTGATAGAAAATCAACTAAATCTGTGATTAAAAAATCAACTAAAATCAATGATTAAATCAACTAAAATCAGTGATAAAATCAACTAAAATCAATGATGAAATCAATTAAAATTTGTGATAAAATAAACTAAAATCAATGATTAAATGACTAAAATCAATGATAAAATCAACTAAAATCAGTGATAAAAATCAACTAAAATCATTGATAAAAAAATCAATTATAAAATCAACAAAATCAATGATAGAATAAACTAAAATCAGTGATAAAACAAAAATCAGTGATACAATCAGTGATAAGATCAACTAAAGTCTGAAAAATTTATAATCTGATAAAAAAATCAACTAAAATCAATGATAAAAATCAACTAAAATCAATTATATAATCAACTAAAATCAGTGATAAAATCAGTGATAAAATCAACTAAAATCAGTGGTAAAATCAACTAAAATTAATGATAAAATCAAATAAAATCATTTATAAAAATCAACTAAAATTAGCGATCAAATCAACTAAAATCAGTAATAAAATAAAATCAGTGATAAAATCAATGATAAAATCAACTAAATCTGTGATAAAATCAGTGATAAATTCAACTAAAAACTGATAAAATCAACAAAAATCAATGATAAAATTAAATAAAGTCATTTATAAAAATCAACTAAAATCAGCGATCAAATCAACTAAAATCA